GAAAACGCATGATCACACCGGCTAGTCTGGTGCGCGTTGCTATTTATTTTCCTTTTTTTTGGAGGGGGGAAGGGGGGGAGGGAGGGGAAGAGAGAGAATGTACCACATCCTGCAGTTGCTGGGCTATGTTGTGAAACCTAATTTATCTGCTTATTTGCTGGCAGACATAGCAGGGCGGAGTAGCAGTGTTGTTTGTCAAAACTCTGGTCGTCCCTTCTACAATTCGTTTTAATGGCAAATTGGTACAGACATATGCCAGGGAGTCAAACCCGCCATCAGCTTGCTTGTAAGCAATCCTCAATAAAAAGAGACGTCGATAGCCTTGCCAGAGATTAGTTAATATTTTTGTTACCAATCAGGTTGCTTTTCGCGCATTTCCGCTTCTCTCTGAGAGCAAAATGCGGGGAGAGTTTTGACTTTTGACTTGCTAATTTACCACCTTTCTTCAAGCCATGCTGAAAGGGGAGTGTTTTATTCGCTTTACCAGCTCCCGCATATTCGCCTTTGCCCACGGTTCTGTTTGGTCGGTGTTCCATTACTTGCTGGTTAGCGCATTCTTTGTTGTTTTGGTTCACAGCGATTTTTTTCGTGTGTTTTTTGCAGCTATGCAATGCAGAAAACGCATATTGACGAGGGGTTGTCTGTGTGTTCGTCTGTACCAATTTTTTGTCTCGGGACCGGCAAAAACTACAGGGCTGGAACTTTAGGGACATAATCTACATGCATGTACGGGCCCCTATCCCCTAAATGGGCAGTCTTACCCGCGTGGTATCCACGTAAGAGCCCGCCGAAATTTTACTCGGGTAAGTTGATAACTCGCGAACAGAATAGCGAGAAAGCTGAAATTTTGAGGGAATGTTTCCCGTCCAAGTAGATATTAATGAGCTCAAACCCAGCCCTGGGTAAGTGTAGCACTCGCGTACGGGCCCACCAAAATTTTCCCTGCATAAGTTCATAACTCGGGGATCTGAGATGCTAGAAAGCTAAAATCTTAAAGGGATGTTCCCTGTCCAAGTAGATATTAATGAGCTCAAATCCAGCCCCCGGGCAAGCGTGTTACCTGCGTACGGGCCCGCCAAATTTTTTTTCGGCTAAGTTGATAACTCACAAACCAGAAAAGCTAGAAAGCTGAAATTTTAAGAGGATGTTCCCGGACCACATTGGTCTCAACGAGCTCAGACACAGCCCTCGGTCATGCGTGATACCTACGCACTGGTTCATTAAAGTTTTCTTCGGGTAAGTTCATAACTCGAGAACCTGAAAAGCTAAAAGACTGTAGTTCTAAGAAGATGTTCCCCGTCCAAGTAAGTCTCAACGAGCTCAAACTCAGACACCGAGTATGCGTGGTACCCGCGTGCGGGCCAGTAGAGACAAAAAAAAAAAGTTTTTTTCCAGTAAGTTGCTAACTCAGGAGCCAGAAAAACTAGAGGGATGAAATTTTAAGGGGGTGTTTCCTGCCAGTTCTGGCGAACAGTCTTAAATTGTTTAGCTAGAAACATTTGCCGGAAAAACCGATGCAAGTAGCAACAAAAACTGCGGAAAACTATGCAAAATCTTCGCACCGGCAGCCCGTACGTTGGCCAATTATCAACTTTGATTTTTCCCTTTTTGGATGAACTGTCACTCAAAAATAGTCTGTTATCATTGGTTTTTCATTACAACAGCATTGAAAATCAGTACTTTTTTTTCAGAAAAAAGGTCGTTGCGAGCTGCCAGTGAATAGTGTTCGTCGACAGTTGGCTGAAGCAATTCGCAACAATGACATTTCAATTATTCTTGGCGAAACGGGCAGTGGAAAGAGCACTCAGATACCTCAGGTGATAGCTGCTTCAGCGTCATAAAGAACTCATACCGAGAGGCTTATTCATGCCGTTGAATTACAAAAACAGTACTTTAATACCATTAATACTATATGTTAAGAAAAACTGTGTAGTTACGACAGTTGCATACAGTAGCAGGTTTTTTTCCACTGCAACTAATACGTCTAATTTTTAATCCATACGTAGTCTAGTCCCCCTTCTTTCTTATCCCCTTCAGTCATTTAGTACAAGCACTTCAATAAAGGAGGCCGTACTGATGATTCCCAGCCTTGTCCACAGAAGCTTGTGTTGTATGCGTTTACAGCTAAGGGATGAAACACAGGGACAGTATGGTATTTCTTCATGATATATGACTCATTTACAAGCCAACCAGCCCTTAGCATATGCCTTGGCTTAACAATCTTTTTGTTCATCCTTCCTCTTTCTTTCCATATTCATTTTTTTCCACTGACAAATATAGTTGAAGATTTTGAGGACACTCTTTCTCTTAGCTTCAGCTCCAATTTTAATTTTTTGAAGATTTGCTACGAGGAAGGTATCATTGGTGATGGTGTATTGGCTGTAACGCAACCTCGACGTGTTGCTGCCATCACACTCGCACGACGTGTCTCGGCAGAAATGAAGTCAAACCTTGGTGAATTGGTAAATTTTTACGATAAAAATTTGTCCCATATCTCGCTTGTAACGGATTTTTCTTATTACAAATCACAGGAGTGTTCGAAGGAGGCGATTATTCGTTAAATTACGCTTGATTTTATTACCCCTCTGGCACGCTTTATTGCTTATTCGTCTTTAATAACTTAATCTGACCACAAAAAAAGCAATGAGGGGGGGGGGGGGGGGGGGGGGGGGGGGGGGGGGG